AGTCCTGCCTTACTAACACAACTGCCACCCATCCTCCCTCATTAACATCATAGAGGCAGGATTTACAATTTATAGGAAAACCACAGAATACCAGGAATCATGGCCCGGCCAAATTGATTTTTTGGGGTACATAATTCAATCCACGACACCGTGGTACTGCTTCATTAAAATCTGCACAAATTTAATTGTATATCAGGTGGTCATTGGAAACATTAGTACAACCACCAGGCACTACAGGAAGTGACCAAGGGCACAGGGTAGCATGGTCATAACCTTGGGGAGGGTTACACGATATAATGAATTGTAAACACGACTTAGCTTGCACTTGGCCATAGGAACCTTCCTGTAAATGACAACTGTTTTTACTATTCTCATTCTTTAAACAAATATTGGAGTCCTGGTGGCACAGCGGTTAAGGGCTCGGCTGCTAACCAGAAAGTTAGCAGTTTGAATCCACCAGCCACTCCTTGGAAACCCCGTGGGGCAGGTCTACTCTCTCCTATATTTATTATCTTTTATGTGCCAGATAGCATGCTAGACATTAGGTAGTAATTGCTAAATAAAATAGATACGGTCCTTGACTTCATACAGCTTAAATTTTAGTGACGGGATACAGATATTGGACAAAGAATTACCCAATAAACGCGTAATTAAAATTGTGAAGAATGCTGTGACTGTAAAGAACAAGCGTCTGTGAGAACGTATGGCATGGGAACATCATTTAGATTTGGAGGTTAGCGAAGGCCCCTCTGAGAAAGTAGTGTTTACGCTGAGACCTGAGAGGTGAGTAGGCATTGGCTGAGTGATCACTAGGAAGCATTGGACCCTTCCCAGGTGGAACAACTTGTGTACAGACTCTGAAGCAGGAAAGCACACAGCCCATTTAGATTGCTGCAGAAGGGCCTTTGGGGGACCAGCAGTGCTTCTGAATGAACCCTGGCAAACGGAGGTGGCCACTCCCTCCAAGACAGAAACCAGTCTGTTCTACCATGAAGCTTTAAATGGAGGAACGTATGTAGGCTAGAGAAGTCTTTATTCTAGAAAATATCAGTCTCTCATTCTTAAAGTGTCCACGTGCCAGGATGTTTGTTTTCTTTTATTTCTTCTTTCACCCATGCTAAGATGTTTTCCTGAGCACCTACCATGCTCTTGGCACTAGGCTACAACTAGCATAGATGCTGTTAAGGTTTCTTTATCCAACCACCAGCTAAAAGCGTGGACAGCCTTTCCAGGTACTTAGAGTTGAAACTTAGGTATCTAAAGAGTAGTGGAAAAGAAATTGAGTTATTCTGATATAAATTCTGTTTTCACTGTAATTACATTAAAATTTTGAAAATGCTTCATCTTAATTTGTTGATGTTCTTTATATATGTGTGATACCAGTTGCCACTGACTTGATTCCAACTCATGGCCACCCCATGCATGCAGAGTAGAACTGTGCTCCGTAGTGTTTTCACAGCTGTGACCTTTTGGATGTAGAGCACCAGGCCTTTCTTGCAAGGTGCCTCTGGGTGGACTCAGATCTCAAACCTTTTGGTCAGCAGGCAAGTGTTTCACTGTTTATGGTACCCAGGGGCTCCATGTGTGCAGGTAGCTTCTTAAATTGTGCCAGTGAGCATTTAGATCAGGAGGGTCTAATAACATTTGTGAAACCTAGAGGATCACGTTTTAGCTGTTGTGGATGACGATTTTTACTAGGTTTGTTAGAAACTTAATGAATTTGAACACTGGTAACAGAAAATATTCAGGAGGTTGCCAGTCTGTGTAAACAGGAGGGAAGCAGACCTTCTTTCATTATCGATTCCTGTTGGAAGGCCTAAAAAAACGCAGCTATTTCCAATCTGCAGGACTCCAGGGTTTCAGGGGTAGGGGGTGGTGGTAGATTATAGCTTTTTTGGTGTCCCGTGTGCAATGCTATATCTCCCTGTGGATTCTTAAACACTTAATAACAATAATTAACAATGATTTCCCAAGCCAGATCATAGCAGATGAGTGAGTCCCATCATCTCTGAAGAGCTCCACCTCAGAAGCTTAAAGGCTGATGATCATTTTCCCTGACCCTTTAAAAGAAGAAATCAGGAAGAGAAGGGTTGACATTTTTATTTCAGTGTGTGTAAAATCCTTAGCTTTTTCTTTTTCTTTTTCTTTTTTTTTTTTTTTTGAGTTAGAGGACCCCTGGCCCTGCAGCGGGAATTATCTTCCTGCTCAGGAGAGTAAGTGATGTGGAGATACGCTTCCTATTTTTTAAGGCACATTTCCAACAGTTGCTACTTTCTCAGCTCCCTTAACAGTCCCCAGATCAGAGCATGTGTCCTAAAGGATGGTTCTCATTTGAGGTCTCTCTCTGTCTTCCATTTGGACACCTGTTTCTGTTTATAGGTCTCTGAGATCTTTGATGAAGATCAGGTTTTCTATTCTTTCATACTTCCCTCTGGCAGGGCAGTTCTTGCTGGTTCTTTAAAGTTCCTGACTTTAAAATCATGACGTTTTACATTGGGATAATTAGAATTCTTAAAAGTGGATCCTAAATCCATCCCGGCACATTTTATTTTTTGAGTTTTATTCATTTTGACTGTATCTCTAAAATAGAAATGTTCATTAATAACAAGTTAGCCAAAGTTCTCTTCTTAGTTCCTATTATAGATAATAATAATAACTAATCTTATTTTAAAATAGGCTTTTTCTTTTCAGACTTTTTAGACTATTAACAGAAGTCTACTTATCGGAGATTTGTTTTCATGATTTCTCATCTTGGAACTGTATAAGCTTCCTCTAAAATGGATATTTCCCCCCTACAGCTTGATGAAACCTGGACAACAAAATTTGATTTTAAAGAAATTTAACTCTTAATTTTTCAGCAAAGGCAATAAAAAGGGCTTTTTATTCAGTTGGGTTTCCGAAATTCCATCTCTCTAGTCCGTACTAGATTTTATTTTTGTTCTTAATGCAAAACTTCAATACTATCGTTAAGTTTTAGTCTTTTTTGTGAGCTGGTTTTGTGCATTAGAAATATTTTATATGTCAAAACCTGTTGTATGTTTATAAACATATCAAGTCTCTAAAAGCAGCAGAAAATGCATGTAAATAGTTTAGTTTGTTCCCTGCTTTTCCTCCTTGCCTGTTGCTCAGTTTGTTTACTGGGGTCTTTTTGTCAACCTAAATTTTCAACTTAAACTGGAAAAAACCTGGCTGTTTGGGTAGAAGCTAGACCCAACCTTTATACGTATTTTGGGAGGTAAGTTTTATTTAAGATTTTAGGTTTTCTCAGCAAGTTATAGAGCTACCATAAATTACATAAAATTCTATAGATATATTTTAGTACTATAAGGAGCTGTGTAGATAGGGATCAATCTGCTTCTGTAAAGATTATAGCCTTGGAAACCCTATGGGGCAGTTCTACTCTGTCCTATAGGGTCGCTATGAGTCAGAATTGACTTGATGGCAATTGGAGTATACCCACTGCTGTTGATTCTGACTCATAGGGACCCTGTAGGATAGAGTAGAACAGCCTCATAGAGTTTCCAAGACTGTAATCTTTACGGAAGCAGACTGCCACATCCTTCTCCTGCAGAGCAGCCTGTGGGTTCGAACTACTGACATTTTGGTTAGCAGCCACGTGCTTTAACCATGGTGACACCAGGGCTTCTCAGTGGAGATATAGAGGGGGATGTTACTTGTCAAATGAACGAACAAACAAATTTTTAAAAGGAAGATTTCTATCCTTTCTTGTCTTCTTTTCCTGTTTCCTTTCTTTGGGAAAGACTTTGTCTCTTGCCAATCACGTTTTCTTAGCACCAGAGCTAACTCTGTAAATCCTGTCAGTCTCTTCTCACAAGAATCAGGGATGATTTTTCTATTGTATAGTTTGTTTTTCCCTCTAAATAGCTCTAGTTCTAAGTCAGGGCCTGAGATCAGAAAAGTTGCTGAAGTAGGAGAACCTTTCTTGCCTACTTCCACGGATTTCCACTGCTGCCCCAGACATGGCTGGTTGTCGTGCGTCTGATTTGTCTAATTGTGTTTACTCTTCTAGTGCTAGGAACTGTATCTCAGGTAAGTTTTTCAAGTTTTTCTTTTTTTCTGCCACCCGCCCCAACTTCTTTTTTAATAAAAGCAGATTACCTGATTAGCCTTTCGGCTCAGGCCAAGTCCTGCTATGTGACATGGTCTTTAACTTTCCAGTCAGCACTCTGAAAGCAATTAAAAAATAAATACTCTACCCTCTCTGACCAGAGTTCCGGCTTTACAGGGTCTTCCACAGGAAATGGCATCTGTTGCCTTGCCCATGGGCACCACGGTGCACCCTGCGGCTGGAGCCGAGGCTGGGATATAGGGGGAAGGTGCTGTGGTGCTTCTTTTGAGGGTGACTTGGGTTCTTGGTCTGTTGTCAGAGAAGAGCAGCAGGTGTTGCTGTTTTCTCAAGGATGGCTTCTCAGCCGTAGGTTAGGGGCTGAGGCGAAGGGGATGAGGGCCTCGATGTAGCCTCTTCTGCGAGATTTTTTTCTCTTTCATCAACCTCTTTCCCTTCCTCCCTTCCCAGCCCATCCATACTTTTTTTTTCCTTTTTTTTTTTTTAAACATTTTTTAAAAGAGATTAAAATCTAATGTGCAGGTCACAATGAATAGGAAGGGATCTCCTAACCTTTGATGGGAAGAAAATTCAAAGGGAAACTCCACACCCCAGAGCTGGGGAGAACAGGAGCAAGGAGGCTCCTGGCTGGAAACACACCCAGTGGAGGGCAGCGAGGCTTCGGGTGAGGTGGGCTGGCTGGGGCGGGGGTGGTCGTCTCTACCTCCTTCAACTATTGCCTCCTGAGTGATGGCCTCATGGGCAGTGGGTCCCCCAAGCCTATTGAATCCCCCCTGGATGATTCTGCTGGCAGATCCTGGCATTTGTGATGTTGGTAACAGGCTTGAAAACTGTCTCCAGGGCGCGTGGGGTGAGTCATACGGAAGAAAAAAAAAAAAAAAAAAAACGTTGCCATCAAGTCGATTCCGACTTGTAGCGACCCTATAGGACAGAGTAGAACTGCCCCATTAGGTTTCCGAGGAGCCACTGGTGGATTCAAACTGCCGACATTTTGGTTAGCAGCCGAGCTCTTAACCACTGCAAAACAGTGTGCAAATGTAAGCCCCTTAAAACCCCAAAGGGAGAGCTTGCCCACATAAGCTATTTTGCTACATATGATATATGTAAGTGTATCAGTTATGTAAAGGGGCAGTGAAGAATTGAAAGATACCAGTGGCTGCATTATCCAAATTAGATACAAAAATCTGAAGTTATAGATGGCAAAATAAACTTAGATACTGCTCCTTGCTTAAGGAAGGTCAAAACCGCAGCTATTAAGTGTGCCGCATGATTGTACAGGGTTTTCTGTGTTCTCCCTGTAGACAGTTAATGTTTATGTAAGTGTGAGAAGAGGCTGAAGAGGCTGAGACAGACTGACTTTTGATGTCTTGTTCTATAGACAGGATCATATGATGCGAGCTCATTATTTTTAAGGTTTCAGACTCTTCATATGACAGAATGAGTGTCCCTGTGAGGAGAGGGTGTATCTGTGTAAAAAAGACATCTGGAAATTATCACATTTTGCATAAATAAATGGTAGTTGGGCTGAGATATCAGAATGTGCTACAAACGAATCAAAAAGGGCTAAGTTGGGTGTTGAGGTTCACCAGTGAAAGTTCTTTTTAATTTATATTGGAAAAGAGCAAGGGTGGGTGACCGAGATCGTTTTACATTGGATACTTTGATTGACTTTGATGTGTTTCATGTGATATCGGAGAACAGGATAGAGGAACCGAAGTCTGAATTTCACTGTGGCCACCAGACTCCAAGTGGAATTCTGTAGCACTTGGTCTTCTGCCATTTACAAATAAATCAAAGTTTAAATGCTTCATATTTTCATTTTTTTAGTGTTGGAAACATGAAGTATATAATACTATTGCTATTTTGCTTGATTTTTCTTTTTTCTTCATTCTTCTTTTTTGTTTTAGTGGCACGCCCTCTCCCGTGAAGAGCAGGCTAAGTATTATGAATTAGCGCGGAAGGAAAGACAGCTACATATGCAGCTTTATCCAGGCTGGTCTGCAAGAGACAATTATGTAAGTCCCTCTGTATACTAGCCACTCTCCACTTTCACTCATTCTCCTTCCCAACTGCTTTCTGGAAGGAAATGTTTTTTGGATGTATACAGTGCTGGTGTTACTTACTGTTTTTGAAAGTTTAAAATAAACTTTGTAATAAAGCTTTCATGGATATACTGCATTATGAAAACTTAGAGCTATTATCTTTTTTTAGTTACAGATGGTAAGCTTTCTCAAAATAAAGCTTTTTTTAATTAAAAAAGAAAGTATCATTAAAATACTGGTGGAAAAGGTAAAAACAAAAACAAACATCTGCGGTCTCCCCATAGAATGGCAGCATTAGTAATAACTGCATTTCTTTCCGGATTTTTTTCTATGCATATGCTTTTATTTTTTACTTAAATATAAATGTGTCTGTACATACGTATACATTTTTGTCATGCTTCTTCCTTTTATTATATATAATAACCACTTTTCAAATTTATGGCATAGTGTTTGTAAGTATCCGTTTTCATGATGACACACACAGTACTCCATTCAGTGACCGTCATAATTTACTTAACCATTTTTTCCTGCTGTTGGACATTTCAGTTACTTTCTGTTTTTCATAATTGTAAGTAATCCTGCAGTGAACATATCTGTGCATAAGAAATGCTTTTCTGCATCCAGGACTATTATTTCTGTAAGATAAATTCGTAGTAGTAACTTGTTGCATTATAAAGGATATAAATATTTTAAGGCTTTTGAGAAATACTGTCAAATTGCTTTCCAAAAGGACTGTATATTTTACAATTCTTATAAGCAGTGTATTCACATCAGTGTTTTGCCACAGACTAATCAGAAGTAGGTAAAAAAATTTTTTTGTGTGTTCCATATTAATGTACCCTGATGTTTATCATGTATTTTATTCAAACGGAGTAGATACTATTCTATTTTTAAACTGTGCTTATTTTATGGACAAGATCTCCTTTTAATTTGCCAATTATTTTTATTAGTATAGAGTTTGAGCACCTGACTAAAGTAGTCTTGACACAGCAAAGAATATTTCTGAGGAAGTGTATTATAAATGATATATTGGAAGTTTTATCATATTCTATAGAGGGGAATAATTTTGACTATTTAAGCTTTGAAAATAATTTAAAAATTCAAAGATCATTCTCAAGTTCCATGTGAGACCAGCATTAGAAATGCCAGCTAGGAGAGTCTTAATTTAAGTGGAACTGTCCCATTAAGGAAGGACAACAGTGAAGCCATTATCAATACATAATTTAATGTGAGGCCATTGCTGTTGTTGCTACTGTGAGGCTCAAGTCCACACCGGAGACTGTGAGGAGACAATGTGTCTAAGGTTGTACATCCCATATAATAAGACACCAAAACCTTCTGAACACACATCTAAACTTAATTCTAGGAATTAGTTACACACTTTGTTTCTAATAACATGCTCTGAAGAAAAAATCACTTTACCTGGTAAGGATTTTAAGCTTAAACATAGGGTTCAGCTATAACATAGGAAGTGAAGTTTTCATGTATCAACAATGTACACGTTTTCATGGGTGAGATCAACCAAATAGAGCTTTTAAATTTAGTACTTAATGCTTGCCAGTATTACACATTATATATAATTTTGATGTTTCAAAATGTTTTTTACTACCTACGAATTTTGGTTTCTCTGTAAGTTGATTTTAATACATCCAAATGACTTAGGTCTTTGTGTCTATCATAAATGTAGGTTCTTTTCAACCACTGGTTTATATCTAGAATATAATGTAGGTTATTTCACAAAGGCAGTAGAGGTGTAATGCATCCTGCCACGGGCAGTTGCTGCCTGCCTGCTGTGTTTCTGGCATGTGCCAGGTGGCAGAGATGGGGTGCTAAGAGGTGTAGTCCTTGTAAGACACTCTGACAGATCGACAGCCATGTGGTCAGGGGCTCAGGGACACAGTCCATTACAGCATCTGTGAGGAGTTGCATTATGACGGTGAGCTCAGGGTTATGGGGGAGTATGGAAGAGCAGCCCCAGTTCTGCCTGGGGAGGGGTTGGGAAGCAGCATGAGGTAGAGAAGTTTCTTGAAAAGATAACACTTGACACAGGTGTTGAAGGGCAAATAGGAGTTCAGAGGAGAAAGTGAGGAAGAAGGTTTCAGACACATGAAACAAGCTCATAGCACTTTCTGGAAACCACAGTAATTCCATTTGAAGGGAAGATAGCAGATACTGTCCTAATTCAGGTTGGTCATTTACTGTTCATATAAGGTAATGCCCTATTAAAGTTATTTTTGAGGAGGAACTGGTTAGAAAAAAACCTGTTGCCGTTGAGTCGATTCTGACTCATAGTGACCCTATAGGACAGAGTAGGACCGCCCCATAGGGTTTCCAAAGAGTGGCTGGTAGATTCGAACTTCTGACCTTTGGGTTAGTAGTGGGAGCTCTCAGCCACTGAAAATAGAAAATTAGATCACAGTAAATGGAACCTACATGTTTACAGTGTGTTACTGAGAGCATTTTGAAATATATTTAAAATTGCATGCATCTACATGTTATCGTATGTGTTTTAAGAAGTAAGGTCCTTACTTGCCGGAAATAACTCTCCAAAATTATCTTTAGTTTCTTCAGGTTCTAGCTCGACTACCTCTTATTCTTGGTTCTGTCTTATCTGATGCCATGAGGGGCCATGAGTTCTCAGTAAACACCCTGGAACTTTTTAATTATTCAGCAGAATTCACAGTACGGGAGATTTATTTTGAACACTACAAAAGCAAGTTTTAAGTATTGGGGGATAAGAAAAGGAATGCCTCATGACGGGAGCTTTCCTTGAAGGGGTTTCTGTGGCTGAAGCCCTAGGATGGCTTGATCCTAGCAATGTCAGTACTGGTGACCTGAAACACGAAGCTACGGAGACAAAAGTTACAAAGGGATAAGAATTTATGTATTTCTTTCTCTTGCTCTCTGACTCTTTTTTTTCTTTTTTTTATTTATTTTTGATGGCAGTATATACGACCAAACATACAGCCATTCACACTCGATACATGAGCAGTTCAGTAACATTGGTTACATACTTCACATTGTGGCTGCATTCCCTCTACCTGCATTGTTTCATCATCATTAATGTAGGCTCTCTGCCACTTAAAAGTTCTCATCTGTGCTTTAGATTAACTGTTGTTCATCTAAATACTCATAGATAATTCTTTATAAGAGCCCTATGCTCGAGGCAAACATTCATTATTAATTAGGCTACCCTGCTGCTTAATTTAACACTGGCTTCATGAGTTTCAATGCAAGGTTTAAAGATTATTTCCATGCATTAGATTCAGAAGTTGCCCCAGTCTCAATGGATCCAGTAAGTCTGGTTTCTGTATGCGTTTGAAGTTGTGTTCCACACTTTTCCTCCTTTTGATCAGGATCCAGCTATTGGTCTGACTCTGTTTCTAGATAGAGATGGTAAGGAGAGAGAAAGAGACAATGAGCCATTTTTGTCTTTTCATCGACCACTTGCCTGTACTTCCATATCACCTTCCTTAGTGTATCTGCAGTACAGTCTATGACTTGACGGTATGCCTGTCTTCTTCCAGGGTAAGAAAAAGAAGAGGAAGAGAGAGAAGCTACAGGAATCTACATCAGGTAGGCACCTTGTGACTTCCCAGTTAATTCTTATGCTCCTGACCCCTTTTAAAGTAGTCTGCATCTTTCTACACACTGCTTTTTTCTCTTCACGTGTGTTACTTTAACTCCGCTCTTCTTCCTGAAATTCTTTAAACATTTTTTTAAAAGATCTTCCTTTTAAATGTGACTGCGTGAAGATACAGCTAAAGACTCCTTTCCCAAACCCTGTTCTCAGAAAATCCTGCTTGTTAACTGTGGTTGATTATTTTTCTCTTCTGTTGTCTGACCGTGTTCTCTGCTTTAACATGCCTGCTTTCTTTCTACTTGCACAACTCCTTAGAAATATCATTTTTATGATGATTATACAGTATGCTACTTTGTATCCCCCTTGAGAATCTTTTCTGTGATTTAGATTTTTTTTTTTAAATGTAAAACATGACGATCAGGTTTATCTTTCTTGAGATTAATTCAAAACATCAGTGAGGTCCTATTTATCTCTCTTTTTTTTTCATGAAAATAAGACCACTACTTGTACTGCACAAATAAAAATGGCTGGTATAAGAACCACAAAAAGTACAGCAAACAAGTCCACATGATGTTGTAGCTACTACGTATTTGGAATGTACAAAAACCTCTTCAATAAAAATTTGTTAAAGACACAATTTTCTGCAGGTACAGGTCCAAGAATGACAGCTGCCTACATCTGAAACATGGTAAGAACGACTCTCTAGTCCTACGGCTGACATTAGTTATAACAAGAGACACTTGCTTGTGAATCTTCTTGCTCACATTAGTTCCATTCACCATTGCCCTGTAATGAGGAGAACTCCACCAAAATTGAATTAGTGCTTTTATAAATCTGATGGTTTTTATACCGGCTATGTACTTGCAATATAATGTGCTTTTATCTCTTCTCTTCTTCCCCTTTTGCCCTTCGTTCTTTCTCCACTCCCTTTTCCCTAGCTGTTTTTTCTCAACCATTCCTTATTGATCAGCAGCAAATCTGTCCACCGACAGAAATGATGAAAGCAGTACGCAAAATGCCATCTTCCTCTATGAACCCAGGGGTAGGTTTGAGGAGCATGTTCTAGCCCAGAGCTCAGAAATTTTGCTCCGTAGAGACTTTGTCTTAATTGAGAGATGATGCGTAGACACTTAGAAAGTAATTCATTGGTTTCTAGTGAGAAAGAAAGATGTGCTGTGTATTTTTCTGTTATTATTAGAATTATGGCACGGGCACTTATTTGATTAACTGTAGTTCTACTATCAAGTATTTCCCTTTACTGGTAACCTTTGCTAGATCTCACTCTAGTATTTAAAAGTAATATTTATTTTATTTCTTCGTACTATCATTCTTTTATTTTTGACCTGGCTTCATAAATTAAGATTTGGTCTTTGAGCTCTGCATTCACTGTGTGTCTACATCTTCTGTAGTCACAGTCCTTCTTAACAGACTTACCTTTGGTTCTACTCTCGCTCTAGGAACCCAGGTGCAGTTGGTCAGCAAGTCCTGTCAGACCTACCTTCTGGTCAGCCTTGAGTCTTTCCTCTCAGACTCATTCCCATGCCACAGCCCTGGCTCCGGTGCTCAAACTTTCCATCTGGATTATTGTAATGGCTGACAGATGACTCTCCTGCCTGCAGACTTGCTTTCTTCCAGTTCATCCTTGCTTTTCTCCCTTAGGGTTTTCTGAAACACAAGTGGATTATGTCACTTCCCTTAAAAGTAGTCAGTGCTTTTGTCATTGCCTAGAGGCAAACCACTTAGCGTGGATCTGCCCCCTACCCTCTCCTCACAGTTTCACCTGTGGTCACTTGTGATTCTCTGCCTCTCCTTACCTCCAGCTTAGCCCTTATGGATCCTATGCTCAGTTCAAACAAAAGTATTACCAGCCAGCTCCCCAAAGAGATGGAGGGGCTGCTCCGTGTGCTTGGAAAGCCCGCCTCCCCGCCTAGGGGATGGAAGATAGCTGTGCAGCCTTCCTTAGGAGAAGAGCATTTGTCTGCAGGCCATTTGGTTCAGCTTGAACCAGATGACCCCTACCTACAGAATCTTCAGTCCATAGTTTTGAGCTAAAATTTCAACGGATACTCCCAAAGGAGCCAGCAGAGATTTTGGAACCAAACAGATCTGAATTGTAAATCAGCAGCTTGCCTGGGCAGCCTCCTTCAGCTTTTTAACCTTTATTTTTTCTCATCTGTAAAATGGGAATACAGACACCTACCACCTATGGTTGTTTATGTCTAATATATGCCTAGCCTAGTGTCTGACACAAAATTGGAGCCCAAAAGTGTTATCCCCTTCTTCCCTCCACCCCTCATTGGGAGCTAACTCAGTGACCATCTCCTCTGTGAAACGTTCCTGGTCTTTACTGAGATCCCCAGGTTTTGCAGAATCCCACTGTGGTGTCATGATCTCCAAACTCCTCTAAACTAATGCTGAGTGGCAGGCTTCTCTCCAAGTGAAGGGAGGATCATCCTTTCATGCAGGTGACCGAACAGTGTATCAGAAAAATAATATCATGGTAGGCAATGTCCATATATAATTAAACTTAATGGCTATTAATTGAAGACCTTCTCAGAGCTGGCCCCCAGGCATGGCTATTGGGAACATGGAACCTTCCCCCTAGAGGCTCACGACGTCATCGCAGAGCTGTTTCTAGTAACAAGCATATGCACACGCTGTTTGTAGTCTTTGTTCCTTGTTGTGTTCCATGAATGTTGTCCTTTTAGTTAACTGACAGTGTGGGCCGCAGATCCTTCTTAACACCCTTACCTCTAAACAGAAAGCCCTCCGAAGTGCAATGTGCTAAAGACCAGCATTCATCGATTTACTGCAGCTTCTGTTTGCACCAAAATCTTTAAAGGTGTCTACTCCTATTAAAAATCATTCAGAATGTCTTGCTGTGCTGCAGAGTTTGGTGTGTGAATTAGTGTCCTTAATGATGGAGAATCTCAATCTTATGTTCTCCACTCTTTAACATTAGATAGTATTTTAGATGTAGAAAATTAGCTGGAGTCTATTCTTATCCTAGGATGTATCCCAAACAGCTATCAGCTATCACGTTGCTTTGTTGTCATTCTTTTTTTTTTAAAGGTTAAGGTGTCCTCGGAGCCCTGGTGGCACAGTGGTTAAGAGCTTGGCTGCTAACCAGAAGGTTGGCAGTTCTACCCTGCCCCATAGGGTCGCTATGAGTCAGAATCGACTCGATGGTAATGGGTTGCAGGTCAAGGTGTCCTCACCACTATGCTAGAAAAAACGAAATCCATTGCCATCAGGTTGAATCCGACTCTTAGCGACCCTATAGGACAGAGTAGAACAGCCCCGTAGGGTTTCCAAGGCTATAAATCTTTACGGGAGCAGACTGCCACATCTTTCTCCCACGGAGCGGCTGGTGTGTTCGAACTGCTGACCTTTCCATTAGGAGCCAAGTGCTTAACCACTGTACCACCAGGGCGCCTCTAGAAAAACAAAACAAAACTAAGTTGCCCCTCCACCCCGCCCCCGAAAAAAGCCCTCATCAAGCCACCCAGCCGGCTGGAGAGGCTCCAGTTGGTTGAGCTTCACTTAATCAAGGTCTTTAGTGTTACTGTCCCCCTCACTCCTGGATGAGTCACACAGCCTTTGAAGTCACCGTCCTCCAGACTGTCCTGTTTTGGAGAGCAGAACTGGCAGTCGCTTGAGGAGAGTTATGGAGCAGAGAGGAGCTCAGATGCACATTCATCAAGATTTCAGTAGATGGGTCATGGTAATCTTCCTGTTGTGCCGGCCACCGCCTGCCCCGCCCCTTTTATTTTAGGACTTCAGAAACTTTTCTGTATGTGTAGCAGTTGATTTGTCAGTCCTCATTCAGCGTTTATTGACTACCTAAGAAATGCGAGGTAGAGTCCTGGGACCTGGAAATAAACAGTGTTGAAGAAGGTTGCTACTGCATCAGTGCTGACATCACTATGGGACTTGGTGATAAAATGAACAAGAAAATATAAGTGCTGTAATAAAAACAAAGCTAAGGGTGACAGGTGGTCAGGAAAGGCCCCTCTGAGGTGGTGACACTTGATAATAAGCCTTGTTATCCCTGAAAAATGGAGCGGTGTTCTGTGCATGGTTCTGGAACAGAGCAGTGGCAGAGAAGTGAAAGTCAGGGCAACTGGCCTTGTGTTGTAGAAAGAGCCCAGGCTGGGAATGAGGCCATCTGGATTCTCAAGTGGACCCTTGCGTGAACTGCCGGGCCCAGGGCAGGTTGTTTAAAGCCTCCAGACCTCTGGCTCCTGGGGGTGTGATGAGTATGACATGAAAGGATTGTACGTGATGGCCTCATAAGATCTCCCATCTGCTTCCCTCATAGTCCGACTGCTAGTCTGCTCGCCTCTTCTTGGTCTGCACTGCCTCCCAGTGTTCTTAAACGGATTTGGGTTTGTGTCTCATTTACCCGTTTGTCATCGCCTTTCTGTGTCAGCGTGGTTCTGTAAGACTGTCTGTATCATCTTGAAAACAGCTTGCACACAATGTGGCTGTTCTGCCAATTCCTGTACAGATCATCTCTTGCCTCTGCCTTCTGCTCACCAGGGTCACACTAGTGTGGACATCACCTTAGAAACAGGCTGAAGAAGAGCCCTTAGCCAGAAGAGAGAAAATATTTTATTAGAACTAGTCCTACAAAGAGTGTGATGTAAAATCTCACACAGCTGCTTTTCAGCCCTTACTCTTTTCTCTCTTTTTAAAAAGTGTTAGCTAGATCCTTCCCTCGTGTTCCTCTCTTCATGAAGTGATAGTAAAAACACACGGTGCCCAGGCAGAGAAGAGACCATGGCTCCAACATGAAGAGATTCTTTGGGAGCGTTTATCCCTCGTACGGACACAGTGAAATTTAACACCATCTTTGTGTTTGTAAAGAAAATTCTTATTAAGTTAGATCTTTGGGCTCAGACTTCCATGTATGTAGCTCAGATGCTGGAAAGCTCCCATTACTCCATTACTCCGGACTGTTGTGGAAGAATGAAGTGTAAGGAAAAGGACCCGCTAATAAGGAAAAGACTCTTCTCGGTGACCAAAAAAGCCCTCGAAAAACGTGTGCTTCTATGCCATAAAAAATAAATGAGTTTCATCCAATGCTTTCATTTTTTGGTGGGAAATACCACTGTAGTTGCCTCATGAAGCCAACATAGAAATTGGCCCCTTAAGAAGTTCTGCATACACCCAGCTGTGTTCCTGCCTCCTGTGCATTTCCACTTTTGTGCATTATAAGTGTATTCACTCTGGTGAAATCAAGTGTAAACAAAGAGGTTAGCATTAATCTAGACTCAACACTGTGCAGCAACTTTTAGGATAATTGGAAATGGGATCCACAGAAAAGCCATTCCCTCAGGTTGGAGATGATTCCCAAGCTGTGGGGTTTTCGGGATAGAAAGCCAAATTAATCCCTGGCTTTTTTGAGTAACTTGTCACTGTGAGAAGGCTGGGATCCTGGGCCTCAGGGAATTTCTCCTGGGTCCACCTGGGAGGCCAGTGTCATAAAGGCCAAGCATATCTTTATTCCCTCTGCAAACATCTACTGAGGACTTCTCCTGCAAGTCAAAGAACTGGGTTAGGCAGTGGGGGTACTTGCCAAATGATAGACCCTGCCCCTTCCTGGAGGAACTCACAGTTTAAGGAGATACAGACATATGAATGGGAAATTATAAAATAATACGTTACATGCTGTGAAGGAGATGCATACAGGACACTATGTAAAAGTAAAGAAAACCAAACTTGTTCAAGTAGACTTGACTTATAGTAACTTTCTACGACAGAGTAGAACTGCCCCATAGGGTTTTCAAGGCTGTAAATCTTTTTGGAAGCAGACCGCCTCATCTCCCATGGAGTGGCTGGTGGGTTTAAACTGCTGTCCTTTCAGTTAGCAGCCAAGCGCTTAACCGCTGTGCCACCAGGGCTCCCTGATTTATATACTTGTTTTTACTAGCCCTGGTGGTGCAGTGGTTAAGCAGTCAGTTGCTAGCCAAAAGATCATCAGTTCGAATCCACCAGCTGCTCCTTAGAAATCCTATGGGGCAGTTCTGCTTTGTCCTATAGGGTTGCTATGAGTCGGAATCAACTCAATGGCAATGGGTTTGGTCTGGTTATGTGAATCAGAGGTAGATCAAGGTAGGCTTCCTGGAGTAGACAACACTTGAGCTAACAGGTCAGTGAGGGAATTCTTGGGTTGGATAGAATAGTGATTGAGTTGCTGTGAGTTTCCAGTATGGATACATACTTGTTTTAGAATATATAACATCTCAAAAGTCTGTCAGAGATCACAGATGATCATCAAATGCTGAACTTCCATTTCTTCCTGACTTAATCAGGATTCATAAGAAATTAAAGAAGCAAAGAAATAGAAATTTTGTAAAGCTAGTGAAAATTCACTATGAGTTTACTAATTTAAAAACAAATTTAAAAATTAGCTTATTAATTCATTTTTACTTTAACAAAACAAAAAGGCCCACCATCTTACGATTATATATATATATATATATATATGTATATAGGAAAAGTTATTTTTAGATGTGTTCCCTTTGATTATGTAATATCAAAGAGCTAGTTTAAAAGTAGACAAAAGCTATCTTTTGGAAAGAAACCTCTGTGGTTCAGCACACACGTATACAGAGACACACACACATACCCACACGCCCTCCTGTGTAGACGTGCAGACACACCAGACACACACACACAGTCACCATGTTTTTGGCTTTGGCATAATCTTTATCTGGTTGTTGTTAGGTGCCGTCGAGTCAGTTCCGACTCCTAGCGACCCTGTGTACAACAGAACAAAACCCCGCCCAGTCCTGCGCCATCCTCACAGTTGAGTAATGCCTGAGCCCATTGTTGCAGACACTGTGTCAATCCATCTTGTCGAGGGTCTTCCTCTTTTTCGCTGACCCTGTACTTTACCAAGCATGATGTCCTCCTTCAGGGACTGATCCCTTCTGATAATATGTCCAAAGTATGTGACACGTAGTCTCGCCATCCTTGCTTCTAAGGAACATTCTGGCTGTACTTCTTCCAAGACAGATTTGTTCGTTCTTTTGGCAGTCCATAGCATAGTCAGTATTATTCACTAGTACCACAATGCAAAGGCGTTAGTTCTTCTTCGGTATTCCTTCCTTATTCATCATCCAGCTTTCACATGTACATGAGATGATTGAAAACACCATGGCTTGGGTCAGGCGCACCTTAGTCTTTAAGGTGACATCTTTGCTTTTTAGCACTTTAAAGAGGTCTTTTGGAGCAGATTTGCCCAATGCAATGTGCCTTTTGATTTCGTAACTGCTGCTTCCATGGGTGTTGATTGTGGATCTGAGTAAAATCTTTATCTTAGTTACTTGCTAAAATAAATGAAGAGTTAAATCGTGTTTTTTACTCAGTAAAAACTTTATTTCCCTGTGGCCCAGAGGGGTATGGGAGAGGTCATTGTTAGTGGAGTATAGATCAACCAAAAGCAAGCTGCCGTCAAGTCAGCTCCGACTCTTGATGGCCCCATGTGCGTCAGAGTAGAACTGTGCTCCATAGGATTTCAGCGGCTGATCTTTTGGAAGTAGATCACCAGGGCTTTTTTCTGAAGTGCCTCTGAGTGGATTTGAACCTCCAGCCTTTCAGTTAGCAGCTGAGCACATTTGCAACCACAGTGCTTAGATTTAGATCTTTAAAAAAATATGTTTCCAGCTTGTCATTGATGATAGTGTTTTAGATCCTCCAGAGGTGACTAAGGTTGGGAACTTGGCACTCCTGGGTCCTGTGAAGCTTTCCAAGGCCCTCTTCCAGGACTCTCCTTGAGACCCAGCTGCACAGGTGGCTGTGGATTCCACAAGACTCTCCTGTATCCTTAAATCTTCCTCTCTCCTTCCCAACAGGGTTGACTTCCCAACAGGGTTGACCAGGTGCAGAGTGAGGATAGAGACAAGACTGGTGGTAGGACTGGGTCCCTGAAGGTCTTCTAGGAGCCTTGCCTGAATCCCAGGATTTATCCCTTTCATCTTAGAGTCAGGGAACACTAAATATTTTTCACAGTCTTGTTGAGACATTATTTCATATAATTTTTGAAGTTCACTCTGGTGAGCTTGACATCTTTGCCTAGCTCTTGCTCTGAGCTCTCTTCCACAAGTCCAAATATAGTCACCATATTAAGTTATCAATAAGCTTCTGGGTATTTGCTTCTGGGTTGGCATGTCTATTAGAAAACAAAGCCAAGCTATTTAAAAATATCAAAATAAAAAGCAAGTTGGAGGCAGCTAGAGAAATCTTGATTCTTGTTCAAAGACCAAAGGTAAACAACTAAGACTTGGACCAACTAGAAGAAACTACGGCATCTGGTTTTTCATTCTTCATCGTTTTCGTAACAGACTTGGGGACTTTTTGTAACACACTTAGAAAGCCCCTGACCAAGAATCATTACTAAACAAACAGAAGATGCAGGGAAGCCTGAAGCCTGGAGGTGGGTGGCCGTCAGATTGTAGAGGATCCAGTATCTCACAGCAGCAGCAGTGCGTAAGACATCTCAACTCGTTGCCATCGAGTCGATTCTGACCCATAGCGACCGTATGGGACAGAGTAGAACTTGCTCCATATGGTTTCCAAGGAGCGGCTGGTGGATTCGAACTGCCCACCTTTTGGTTAGCAGCCGAGCTCTTAACCACTGCGCCAGCACAACAACATGTAGTGGGGAAATAGCACCCTGCTCAGCACCGTCTCAGAGCTTGGCCCGTGATGGTCCTTTGAATGAAGCCACAGTCCTTTGAGTGACCACCTGCCTACCATGTTACCGCAGCAGTTAGAGTCTGATAAAAAACTGCTGGCATGTTATTTGTTTTATGTGGGACCGCAAGTTCACACTTCCAGGACGTGGAGGTCTTCACGGCCTAGAGAGGCTCACACATGGCACCTTCCCTGGGAATGTTCCTGTCTAAGGTGATGGTCTGCCCGTGTCTTCCTTCCTTCTCTTTTTATGTCTGTGACCACAAATCCCTGAAAAACTTCAACTTATAGGGAATTCAAAATGCGATGACACTTGAGTACAGTATTCCTTACTAAGGGTCCCTTAGTAAGAACATTCAATAAGAAGATTCCAGACCTCTGACAGATCAGGCTTGGTCACACTGTCTTAAATACAGATGGCTGCATAGTGACAGAAGTGTGGCTAGACTAAAGTACGTGTGGACCGCAGGTTCACACATTATTGACCATTTCCTCAGGAAGGTTTATGTTCACTTACATATTTGGAGCCTTTTGATCAAAAGTATCAGAAACAGCCCATGCTAGCTGAAGGAAAGAAACTACCTCAGAGTGGTGATCTCAGAGAGTCCTCTAGTCTCAACTGGTCCGGTAAGTCTGGACTTTTTAAGAATTGGAGTTCTATTCTGTGTTTTTCTGTCAGGGTCCATCTGTTGTGGCCCTGGTGGGGAAATTTAAGCATACAGGTGTGTCTTATGGAACCCAAGGCCAGTAGTGCAGTTGGGTCAAGAAGAGTCCTGGATGAGGGCCCTGGAATGCTGTCCAAATGCTTTTGCTGCCTCTGACATCTGCCCTTCCCTGAAAATTGCTCCCTTCTCCCCTCTGCAGATTGACTTCCTTCAGTCCTTTGATCCACGTCTAGAACTTCCAAGCTTGTGTGGTGTTAAGAGTATCAGCCTCCCAAAGAGAGGATGCATCTTGCAGATTCTGGAGAATGGACTCTGGTTGGCCCAGCTTGGGTCAAACATCTATACCCTGATCCATAAGGAACTGTGGCCACAGAAGACTGTCACATTTACAACGTGGCCGTCAGAGCTCACCTCTGTAACCTTGGGGTTGGAGTTGGCATAATCAGGAAGGGAGCTGGGCGGTAACCCAACAGGTGTCCACTACAACTCACTCACAAACTGGTTGTTGGGGTCTGTTAGATTAAGAGGGGGTTTTATCTTAGACAGCTGTGTGTTAATGGTGAACTTGGGAGAGGATCATATATGTGGTGAGAGCGTTTAAAACCTCTGCTGCAGTATCCTTCCCATCAATTTCCTTTTCCCTCCTTAATGATCAGAAGAGCTAGAATTGTGCTTCAGTTGCCTTGGGAAGCAGAAACAGGGAAAGGGACCCATGGCTAACAAGATTGATCAGGTGCCATTAAAAAATAATAGGTAGGAAAAGTAATAGGTGAGGGAGAGAAGTACCTGAGGCTCGTGAAAACCCTCTTGAGACACTTCATATTTAGTATTGCTCATGAAAGCCCATGGAACTGAATTTAGATCAATGCAACAGAATAGTCTGTAGAATTAAAAAAGAATTGTTTTGGACAAATTTTATTCACTAGAACATTTTTCTCACTGATCTGTCTGGGACTGTGAGGAATAGCTCACAGTCGAGGAGAAACTATAGGTTTACCTCTTTATGTATCAAAACATAAGTTTTTTATTTTAACTCTTGGGTTCAACAATCTTCTTCAACAGAGTACACCGAAAAGAATTTAAAGATTTCTTAACGCTTCATGCCGTTTATTCTACAGTGCCTATAATATAACCCCTTGCCAACGAGTTGATTTCTACTCACAGCAACCCTATAGGACAGAGCAGAACTGCCCCATAGGGTTTCCAAGACTGTTTCTTTACGGGAGCAGACTACCACATTTTTTACCTGTGAAGTAGCTGGTGGGTTCAAACCATCGACTTTCTGGTTAGCAGCTGAGCGCTTTAACTACTGCGCCTTGTATAGAATATAGTACATGCTAACAAGAAATACGGTGCCATCAGCCACTGTTCTTAATGTCCCCCAGATGATGTGGGATTTTAAGTCTGCTTTTTATAATTATTCTGTGTCTTCCTTTGCTGTCTGGGACGATCCCCTTCTTCTGTAGTATCCTCTTCCTTCTTACCCACTGTGTGGATTTGGGAACCAGAAAACTAAGCTTGTCTGAATAATGTGTCAATTTAAATGGAGTCTGAGTTGGGCTATGAAGAGCTCTCTTACAAAGAAAAGTAAAATATGTTATTTTGTGCATGAATTTCTTGACAGTATTTTTATAGCTTGAGGGCTTTTTAACTTCTTTCTCCTCAGCTGTGTTCTTCATAACTGAAGCTGCCAGCTTATAACTGTCCACAAGCTTTAGCAAAGTAACTTTTTTTTTTGACAAAATGAGAAAAAAAAAAAGTATTTCAGCTGAACAGGACTTCCTTACATTTTGCTTATGTTTTAATTCATATCTAGCCTGAAGTCTCCTAAATTTTGAGGTGCATTTTCCATGATTGTAATAACAAATGTAGTTGTTACCCTCTTGGAATTACTTTTCTGAACTAAGGCTGTTTTTTGGAGACATTCTGTTGTATAGGAGATGTTGTGATTATTTTGCAGAATGTTCTGTTGGTCTTAATTTTTCACAAGAAGTCCTGTAAATAGTATGAATCTTGGCTGTCCCAAACATGTCATATGAAATTGGAACAGCAAAATGGCACTAGCATTTATGTACACATTATTATGTCCTGGCTGCTTTAACAGATGCCTTTCCATATGTTACCTCATCCTTTTCTTGTGGCAGCCGATACGGGATAGATCTCATCCCTGATTGAGGAAAGGGACAACATCAGTAGATTGTCCAGGACCACACAGCTGCTGAGGGGCAGCGTCAGATTTGAACCTGGATCTGCTTGTGTATAACTCCCAAGTCTTGACCCACTACAGTAACTAATATTTATTGTACACTCACTGTGCCAAGCTTTTCATTCCCTCAAACATAAGTTAGGAAGAATAGTGACTTATCTCCTTTTTACAGATGAGGAAACTGGAGTATTTGGTATTTACAAGTAACTTGCCCAAGATAACCCAGGTAGTAACTGATGGAGCCAGGGTTCAAACCCAGCCCGGGACAGTCTGCCCTCAAAGCCCATGCTCTTAACCCACAGTGCATTATTGCATCCCTCTACCATGTACATTTAAACACACACAGGTATAACAGTGGAAATACTGGGTTTGAAAAGAAAAAAAAAGGGTACATTGATCTTGTCATCTCATTTTTAGAAGGTAAAGGTAACATCTTTAATGTAAATACTGAGAGAAATGTGGACTGGATAAAGAATTTGGAGCTGGGCGGTAAGATGGGTCTGTCTAGTTAGTCACTGTCTTCTTGAAGCATCTCCATTTACAGAACTAAAATGGAGTTTGAAGGTTCTCTTTTATGACTGCTCATTACTTTCCTCAAAAATATTCCTTTAATTTTTCCAACAGTAAGTAGTGAGGATCTAGAGGGTATTACCTGCACTGGGAGGCCCACCCTTACCAGTAAGGTATCCCTTTGATGAATAGCAGAACATACAGATCCCATTTACATTTCTCGCCTCTTGGGTTTATTGGTATGGTGCTGTACCACCGAGGGCATGTGCTGTCAGCAGGCAGGGACCTATATAACTGTTGGAAATGGAAGAAACGGGTGTGTGCTGCAAATTACTGTTTTTTACAGGGTATTGTATGAGGTGGTGCTGACTTGATTTTGTTTTTAGGTAAAATATGGATTTTGAAAAATTTTTATGTGGGACACATGTCCCTCTGGACTCTAGGAGTTGAATTAGGGGGACATATATGTCCCTGTGGATTCTGAGGGTAGGATTTTGGGGATGAGGCCAGGAAAAAATCCATATTACCTACCAACACTTCAGATACACTCAGTGATTTAGCATGCATTCCATTAATGAGAAAACATTATATAAACAAAAAATTAAAAAGAAAAATTCATTCATTTATGAAGGGGATATACAGTAAAACCTGCAAAAGCCAGAAGGTGGAAACCTGTCAGAGAAGGAAAGCTCAAATATTTTCCACTACAACTAGTGGTAGAAAAGTTATAAGACTGCACCCTGTCAAAGATGGAAAACTTGCAAGACCAGGAAAAACAAGGCAGTCCCGTTGAGTTCTGTCTCTCACAGGTTTCACTGTAAATCCTCACAGAGGAGACACAAAGAGCGTATCAGGAAGAGAAACCAATAGCTACAGATACAAACCAAAAATTCTCCGGGCATAATTTATACATAGTTGCAGATGTGTCTCAGAATCATCCTGACATGGCCAAACTCTGTTTTAACTGATCCTAATTTACATTGAATAACTCCAGGGCAAGGAGCCACACAGACGCAGGGGCAGTGCCCAGTTGACCCTGCCTCAGTATATCCTGAGTCCAAGGACAGAGTTAATGGCCCATCACAGCCCTGATACCTCCTTCCCTCCCTTCTCCAGGTTCTGGGAATCTTATTCTTGCCTCAGGGCTTTGAGGTCAGCAACTGACTAGTCTTCAGTGCTAGGACTAAGGGCTAATTTAATATGTAAACAAGATTCTGTGCTAACCTTCCTAACCACATTATCATTTTTCCTTTTTCTCAAATACTGGATAATATTTACTGCTAAGGAACAGAAGCTGGCCTTTGTATGTTCAGTCTTAAAGGAGAATTAAATTTCAAAGTTAACTTCTGCCTTTTGTTCTTTATCACCCTGCTTTCAAGCCACTAGGGTGGCTGCAGGGTTCTAGATCCAGCCCACTTCCACAGTGATAAATGTGTTAGTGACTAGTGATGAGAGAGGAAGGGATGGATGGATAGATGAATGGAAGGGAGGAAGAAGAGGAATGATAATTTGATAGTCTCTAAGGTATGCTGGTGGCGCAGTGGTTAAGAGCTCGACTGCTAACCAAAAGGTTGGCAGTTCAAATCCACCAGCCACCCCTTGGAAACCCTATGGGGCAGTTCTGCTGTGTCTTATAGGGTCGTAATGAGTTGGTATCGACTCGATAGCAACTTGTTTGTTTTTTCGTTTTTAAGGTATGCTGGAGAGACCTGCTAACCAAAAGGTCGGCAGTTGGAATCCACCAGGCGCTCCTTGGAAACACTATGGGGCAGTCCTCCTCTGTCCTGTAGGGTCACTGAGTCGGAACTGACTCGACGGCAATGGGTTTCTTTGGAGAGAGCATGTGTTTAGGAAGCAAAAGCTAATTCTGCCACCTCTTGGTTGGGTGACCTTAGGCAAGTTGTTTGACCTCAGGCAGCCTGGGTTTCCTTATTCAGAGCTTTGTGATGATTGCGTGAAATGGTACGTGGGAAGTACGAGCCCCGGTGCCTGGCGCATCAGTGGTCAGTGGATGTTGATTTTGTTCCTTTCTCTCTCATCAGCCTCTTACAGATACACACGGAGGCTGTGACAGACATGGAGCCAGACACCTGGGTGCTGGCCCAGCTCTGCCAGTTACTGTATGGCCACCTACCTCAGTCTCTCATCTAAAATGACAGGGTCCTACTCGCTGGGTCACGCTTGCTTCCTGCTCTGGAAGTCTGTCCTTTTCCTTCATACACACGTGACATTGTGCAGCAGAAGAGTTCACGCCCTAAAATAACAGGCTTTTGTCGGTTTTCCCCAAGGCAGAAAAACTTAGGCAATTGGCATGAGGTGTGTGGTGTGGTGTGTGGTGTGCTGTGAGGCCATCTGCGCAGTTATAATCTATGTCTGTTTTCACCTCTCACAAAACTAATCTCTAATATTCTGTCCTCAAATTTCACATCATCAGTGAAAACATTTTTCAGATTCTTGCTTGCTCCTTGCTAGTAGCATTTGAGAGTGGGAGGTGACCTGAGGCGGGAGGAGGGAGGGAATAGTCTTTATTCCAGGTCACTTTTTTGGGTTCCTCACAAATTCTAAATAAGGAAGTGGTATTCCTCTATAGTTGCTATGAGTCAGAATTGACCCGATGGCAACTGGTTTGGTTTTTTTTATTCCCTGATACAAAGAGGAGTTTTTAGCTTTCTTCCTAGAGGCCAGCTTTGCTGCCTGGCTTGGCCGGGGTAGCTTGAGGAGGTGGAGTGCATCCTGGGCCACAGGGCAGAGGACAGGTCTCCAGGCTTCCAGACCCTCCTGTCCTCCACCTCAGGTCACTGGTGGGCTTTTCTCCTTGGATCCTGCTGCCAGAGAACTGCCTGGGGAAGGGGGCTGGGGCGGCAAAACCCCAAATATAAGGGCTGGCGAAGCACTCACCTTCTGATAAGATTTCAGGGAGAAAGGATTCCCACTTTCCTTTTCTTCACATCTTTTTGAGTTAAGGTCTAGAAAGCCCTACGCCTCAGAGTCACTGCTGGTTGTCTCCCAGAGACAGGGCCCCTCTTGACATCTTTAGATTTCCCTTCAACTCTTGGCTCTTAATAAGTGGCTCTGCCCATTTGGGTCTCTGGCTCCATTTGGTTGCTAGGTGCCATCAAGTCAATTTCAACTCATAGCAACCCCATGTGACAGAGTAGAACTGCCCCCGTAGTGTTTTCTAGGCTGTAATCTTTATGGAAGTGGATCGACAAGTCCTTTCTCCCGAGGAACCTTTCAATTAGCAGCTGAGTGCTTAACCATTGTGCCACCAGGGTGCATTTATTAATGGGATATTTTGTTGAGATTGGGGTTTGGTCTCTGAGAGCTTCTAGGGTTTCGGCTGGAGGGGAGGAGGGAGGGAGGGTCTTGTGCTGCCTCCAGAGATCCTATACAAATGTCCCATGAGGTGACGCCCACCAGCGGGCTGGCGGGCAGGCGGAGGAGCCCAAGCCTTAACATATGTGGGACGGGCTGCGCTGTGCTCCTTTGAAGCCGAGCCGCAGCCAGAGCGGTAATTGCTGGCTTTGATTGCGCCGCCGACTCTGGTGGATGGGGCTTTGCTGGGGCTCGCCTGGCCTGGCAGAGCTTCAGCCGCAGCCCCCCAGTGAGGCCTTAGATGTGGGAAGTCTCCAGTCTCCGGAGCCTCATGCCTGTGGTTTCTTGAAAAGAATCTTGATTTGACCTGTTTTATATCTGTAAAGCAATCCTGTAAGGCCCCCACATCTCCCATTTGAAGAGGACTTGGGCTCCCCTGACGACCCTTTATTTTAAAGGGGCAACCAGCGACAAACTGCTGCCTTATTTGAGATGAGGCTGTTTGGTAGGCGGTTGTACAGAGGATCTCTGAAGCAGCTTTTACAGGAGGGTTGTCAGGGGACAATATGGAATAACTAAGTAAAGAAGGGGAGATGTGAGACTGTAGAAGGAAATAGCTTTAGTACAAGGTGGCGGGATTCGTTCCCCCAGGGATTGCACGTTGTCCTTGTGGTAAATGGGCCCTCTCTGGGCAGCCTCGTTTACTTGTTTGTATTTGTGCTCAGCTCAAGAAGGGAGGAGAAGGAGCTTTGGGGACGGGCAGGGAGGGGGAGGAAAGACTCGGGAGTCAGAAGTGCAGGCTGCTGTGGATGGAAGGTGTTTGAGAACAGGGGACACGGCGGCTCATGGAAGCTATCTCTCCCTCACCACGTCATTGTCAGCCTGTGGACAGTTCGGGTCCTTCAGCAAACAGACACTCCTGAGTGCCCATGGCCGGCCATTCTCAGTCACAGCCCTTGTCCTGGGCGGCTGTGAACTCCTGGCCCAGGGCCCCTAGGCCACTCCTTTTGGGAAGCGGAACATTGTCATGTAGCACTGAGAGGAAAGCCTGCCCAGGAAGACCACCCTGGATCAAACCTTTGAAAATCTGTCATGAAAAAGTACAGTGTAAATAGAAATCTGTGGGGTGCCCTCACCACCCGTTCCAGGCTCTGTGCTTGAGTCCTGCTCCTTTCTCCTTGGAAAGGTAGGGTCCTTCTTAGCTCTTTGATCCTCCTGTGCTTTAAGGAGTGGCATCCCGCTTAAATTGAAAATCATGGTGCTATAGTGTGTGTTTTCCTGTTAAGAGGAGAAAGGTTAACTCTGCAGGAGATGAGAAATTGAAATTGTCATCAAAGACCTCCCAGGAGCTGCCCAGGGTATAAGTAGTTTCTTCACAGTTCCTATCATTCATTTTTTAGGCACGACATTGGTAATAATTACAATAATAACAATAGCTAATATGTACACAGGGCTTGCTACATGCTATGCACTTTCTAAGCACCTTAAAATACACCAGCCCAGTCATTGCTCACAGCAGCCCGTGAGGTAGATCCCGCAGCCATTTCCATTTTACAGGTCACTCTCCTGTGAAAAGCACACAGACCGTGACTCGCTTTCCAAAGTTTTGTTTTCACCGTGTAACTCTTTGAAAGCTTTCTTTTATTTCTCCTCTAATTTCTCTTCCCACTCACTGAAATAAAATGCAAAAAGGAATCCACTTTGATTTAGCATTAAAAATTTAAAGGAGATTTCTGCTAGTAACAAGGACACCACAACCACAAGCCACAGAGTTGGGATGGGCTGAGGCTGGCGAGGGATCCAGGTGGAATCCGTGCGTCTCTGGCCTCTCTCCGTTCTAGGCTCCATGGCGGGAGGCAGAGGCTCTCCTGAGTGAAGGAACTGAACTCTGCAACGCTTTTCCTTTGGGTTGCCTCTGTCTCACCCAGTTACAGTGTTATATTTTATTTTCAGTTCATTTTTAAAATCTCAGATCCTTAAAGCTTTTGGGATTTGGGGATTCTCTTTTTTGAAATTATCATCACCAATATTCGGTAACATTAACTTAAAAAGACTTACTGCATGTACATTCCCAGGCTAACATTAGAGATCCAAGTTGTTAAGAAGGAAAAATATCTCAAGAACTGTGAAGTCTTAGCTAAACACGGAGAGGCATCTTATCTCCGGCTAGGTATGCGAGTGGACAGAGCCAGCTGCACTAGGGCTTGACGCTGTGGGAGTTGGCGGTGTCCTGGGTAATTTGAATGTGCGACAGTCCTGTGTACAAGCATACAATGGCTCCCACTGTGGACTGAAAAGAGCACACACTTCAGACTGACGCAAACCTTTTCCTGATCTGGCCATTGCCCGTCTTCCCAGTTCATGTCTGGCCATTTCTACTGGTGTTTTTCAAACATAGTTTTGTTTTTGTTTTCCTTTTAGTATGACCCAAAGTGTATTAAATACCTTTTACATCATAATCCTGTACCTACCTATATGGAAGCAAATTATGCTTATTATGTAATGTATTTTGAGGATTTTTTTGGGTACCATAGAGCAATCCACGTGAGCCATCTACCAAATCAAAGTGGATGAATTAAATTCCGAGATCTTAAGACATTTGTTGTGTGTAATAGAGGCAGAATCTTTTAAAGGTCTGTGGCAAATTCATATTAATAGCATCTCATTTGTTCCTTCCTGAGGTGGAAAACGAAACTCATTCCCAGCGTGCAAAGCCAAGGCAGCGACCCCAGGACCTCTTCTGGAGATGGAAGCTTGTTGAAAACCGACTGTCTCCACAGCTTGCGCAGTCAACCCCAAAGGAGAACTGACACCAACTTCATCCTGAGGTCGCTGCTAGAGACGCTGATCCATAGACAATCACTGCCAAACCCCTTTCGTCTACTGCAAGAGCCAAGTTCCAAAACCAAACTTAAAAAAGGTTTTTAAAAAAGAAAATTAGAAAGCACACAAGAATGCTAGCATGCCCTGGGTCCGCTGAGAAGATTCCCTCTCCCATCTGTGCTGGGAACTTCCCAGAGCATCTTGCATTGATACCTGTAACATTTTGGCAAGGACAGTAACTTGGCTGCGTTTGCCTGCCGTCAGCATCTGGAGCCAGCCACCAGCACGTCCGTCCGTCAGCATCCCAGC